TACATGGCTATTCTTTCTTATTTTCTGTCTTGGTTAGAGAAAGGGTGAATTTTCACAATATGTACATGGGGGAAGGAGGAGAAGGAAGACAGCTAGGATGGGGTACCAGGGCTGAGCTCCTGAAGCTTCACATGCACTTGGCTTAGAGAAAAAGAAAATATTTAGGTGAAGCCTACATAACAATCAATGATAGTGGCATCAGACGACTAGGTGGTGTGGTAAAGTTGGACTTGGAATCAGAAAGCCTTGAGTTTGAATCCTGCCTCAATCATGTCCTAGTTGTGTGACCCTGGGGAAGTTACTTAATCTCCCTCAGCCTCATTTTCCTCATCTATAAAGTGGGGATAACAACAGCACCTACTTTACAGGGTTGTTGTAAGGATCAGATAAGATGGCCTATGGAAAGTGCTCTGTAAACCTTAAACCACCATATAAATGCTGGTAATTATTAATGTTAACAGAATAACATGTGAATATCCAAGTCAGGATATGTTTTGTGAGATTCATGGTGCAACAGGTTTTGAGGAATGTGAGAGGCCTATCCCTCCCTAAAAGGGGTGGAGTCTGCTTCTGGCCAGAAACCTCTAATCCTCTGGACTTTCTCTATAATAAACTTTCTTGATACTAAAAAAAAAAAAAAAGGAATATGAGAGTAAGTAATCATTCATCTAGAGCTAGTCCAGGCGTTCTTAACCTTTAATGTGTCGTGCACCCCTTTGTCAGTATGATGAAACCTATGGACCCCTTCTCAGGATAATGTTTTTAAATACTTTAAAGAGATGATAAATTTCCACTGGAGGTTAGCAAAAATAAAGATAAAATGTTTCTCATCCAAGTTCATGGACCCCCTGAAATCTAGTAGACCTTGATCTAATCTAGGGCTGGGGAACATGAGGCCTTGAGGACATACTGGCCTTCTAGGTCCTCAGGTGCGGCCTTTTGACCGAGTCCAAGTTTTACAGAACAAATCTTTTTATTAAGGGGATTTGTTCTGTGAAGTTTGGGTTCAGTCAAAGGGCTGCACTTGAGGACCTAGAGGACCACGTGTGGCCTTGAGGTCGCAGGATCCCCACCCCTGATTCTAATCCAATACCTGTTTAACAGATAAAGAAAATGAGGTCCATGGAGATTAAGGTATTTTTCTACTCTCACATAAGTAGTAAGCATTACAAGCAGGTTGTCTGACTCCAGAGGCACTATTCTATCTACTATACCATGCTGCTCTGAGCAGCTTATAAACCCTTCACTTTGATGGTATGTAGTTCTTCAACTACATTTGTTCTGTATAGCTGCTGAGCCTCAGAGAGAGGCAGTCAGGAGCTCATCTGGAATGTCCATATTGTCCACAGGTGTCTCTGTGTAGGTTTGTGGTAAGGTTCTGACCCCTGCCCTGCAGTCTGCACATGGAGGATATCAAAAGAAGGGATCTGGGAAACAAGGCCATGCCCCAGGAATTTGACTCCAAGTCATATATCTGCTCTTTGAAAACTGAGCTCAATCCCCTGTCCCTAGAGAAAGGGTTCCCAGTAGGAGGCACCAGAATGTGATGGAGAAAAACTCAAGGAATGGAATGTTAGAAATGGGGAAAAATACTGCACTTATCTCTCTAATTAGGGAAGAAAAAAAACATTCATAGAAAGGATCCCCTTTCATTAGTGAAAGCAAAGCCACCACTAGCTGATGAAAGCCATCCAGGGCACTGATGCTTTTCCACACATGTACATTTAAGGATAAGCTAAGAATTCAGGATGAATTATTTTTTAAAAGTTTATTCAAAACCTGAGCACAGTATTTAAATAGGAGGAAGTTTATATGAGTAATAATTACTTGAGACAAGAAATAATTTTTATAATGTTTTATTTTGACAATGAGTGTGTGTGTGTGTGTGTGTGTGTGTGCTTCAACTGACACCAGGCTGACTGGGAAGTCTGACTTTGACCAGATGAAACTAGATTGAGCCGGTTTTCCCATGTTTAGTTAGTTTTCTATTAGTGGAGTGGAGTGATGGAATTTTTGCCATGCTCACAGATTTCAGAGCTCTCTTTTGTTGTATTTTAATTGTGTGAACTTTGAGAAAAAATATTCCTGCAAGGGAATGTGCAAAAGTTGAAGCTACTAAAGAGCACACTTCAAGGACTATTAGAGATATTGCAGTGTCTGTTGGTGTGGGGAAGACAAGCATTTGAAAGATCATTCAAGCCCAAAGTGAGACAAGATCAGTTTCTCCAAAGCATAAAGGAAGTGCAGTCAAAAATGAAAGATAGTGGAAAGAACTTGCAAACTATTACCATGCAATAACCCAATTAATCCTCAGGAAAAAAAAAAAAAAGCAAAGGCCATCAGAAGGATCTGACAGCAGGACAGTGCTATTGATTCCTCCATAAAGCAGAGGCAGTGTCTTGGTGTTACAATAACAGTGAGATCAATTTTTTGTAAAGTTGCCAACTGTTGCTATGAAGAAAAGTGCTCTTTGTGGACAAAAGAATACAAAACTGGAGCACTGGAGATTGGGAAAAGGTTATTTTTACCAATGAAACTCAGGTTTTCATTCAAGGCCACTGTTAAAAGTCCATGTGAGACTATCCAATATGAGTTTCTTCTCCATTAGATTAAAAAATATCCACACAAAAATAGTTTTGAGGATTTTTTTTAACTTCCAACCAACCTATAAGTCTTGTCCCATTGAGGGAATGATAAACTCTGATAAATATATTAATATACTTAAAAGCAGGATTATTCTGGAATTATAGAAATTCACAAATGGAGGTGTAATACTGCAACTAACAACAGCCTTGTACCATCACATATATCACAAAAGGTTGAGAAATTTATCCAAGAAATAAAGATAAGTTTACATCAATGGCCTTTAATTAGCTTACCTGATTTAAAACTTATTGAAATCCTATTGGATATAGTTTCTAGACTTGGAAAAATAGACTTTCATCAAAGGTAGATGTAATATTCAATAATGAGTAGTTTCATGATGAAAAAATAAAGAATATACATTAAATCTTGCAAGGAAAATGTCAAATCACGGAAAACAAGTGATTTCAGCAAAAGGGGAATATATATTAAAAGTTTTTCCTTTAATGTAAAAAGTTGAAAGGCTTATTGTAAATCTTAGTAATTCACTCACCACTATGGAATTAGTGAAAAAATACCTATGCATTTCAGTTTTTCAGCCTTAGTTTTATAAGAATTGCATGCTATTTAATGTTTATTTTAGTTTTGATTTTTAAAAAGTAGTGGGAAAATGACCATGATTTAGATCTACTGCCAACTGGAAGCAGTATATTACAATTTAGGAAAAGTATGTAGGGGGGTGAGGATGGGGGCAAAACTCCCTTTTAAAGGCTGAACCTACAAACCAAAAAGTAATAAGATTACATCAAAGGGTAGCACAAGAGAAGATGAAGGGAAGGACTGAGTCATCGTTTGTCCATGGTGCTGCAAAGCATTCTCCCAATTACCAATCTTTAAGCTAGCCTGGGCCCAAAGCAAATTTTTACCAGTTTATAAAACTTTTATTAACATAAAGTTCTTAATAATTAAAAACTTATAAGCTCAAAAATCTTATCCTCCTCTCTATATCCTGTTCCTCTCATTCTCAACATCGTCATCCTCCTCCTCCTCCTTCTCCTCCTCCTCCCTGGGTCCTGGTTTCCATCCCCTATGGCAGATAATTTTTAGATATTTAACAATCTATAGCAATGGTTCTCAAATTTTTTTTAATCTTAAGATCCCTTTACACTCCTAAAAATTCTTTGAGGATCCTCCAAAGACTTTTTGTTTATGTGGATTATATCTAGCAAAACTTACTGTATTAGAAATTAGAGCATATTAGCATTATTGTGAGAATAATGTTGACATCACAGACCCCTTGAAAGGGTCTCAGAAACCTCCCCCCACTCCCTTAATGATACTTTGAGAACCAATGGTCCATAGTATAATCTGGGTTGAAAAACACTGCACTTCAGAACCAAGAGAATGTTGTACACAGTAATAGCAACATCGTGTGATGATCAGCTATGATAGACTTAGCTCTTCTCAGCAACACAATGATCCAAGACAATTCCAAAAGACTCACAATGGAAAATGCTGTCTACATTCAGAGGGGAAAAAAAAAAACTGTGGAATCTGAATGTAGATTGAAGTATATTATTTTCACTTTTTTTGGTTATTTTTTCTTTCTTGTGGATTTCCCCTTTTGTTTTGATTCTTCTTTCACAACATGACTAATGTGGAAATATGTTTAACATGATTGTACACGCATAACCTATGTCAGAGTGCTTGTTGTCTTGGGGATGGGGGAGTGAGAAAAATTTGGAACTCAAAATCTTACAAAAATGAATGTTTAAAACTATCTTTACATGTAACTGGAAAAAAATACTATTAGAGAGAAAAAAAAAAAAGAAAAACACTGCTCTTGAGGAATGAGCTGTTTGCTGGGATAAAAGAGACCTGAATTGTAGCCTTGCCTTCATGATAATTCTGTTGTGGGTCAGTAATAATTAATACTAATAATAGCATTATACATTAATATATAATATACATGCATGCATGCATACATATATGTATATATATGTATGTATACATATTTATATATGCACACACCTCATTTGATCCACATAATCCTGTGATATAGGGGCTATTATTGAGGTATTACTTTTCCAGAGTAAGCAGGATTAAGTGTTTGAGGTAGGATTCAAACTCAGGTCTTCCTGACCCCCCCCCCCCCCCCCCGCCCAAGTCCAGTGTTGTAGCATCTCTGAGTTTTAATTTTCTCATCTATAAAACAGAAAGAATCATTATTGAGAGGAGAGTCATATTGGCAACGTGTATATAAAAACATCTCAATGAATTAGGAGCAGCACGGAAATTTCAAAGACTCTTTGCGGCAAAGTCGAATCACAAGAAAGCAATGCTTCCTTAGCAGCAAAGCTATCACGAGTGCACGTGGCCACCCTGCCATGGCCACTTCTCCCCATCTCTCTCCTTACCTTCTCAGCATCCTGCTCAAAGAGCCGTAGCTGGAAGCACTGGTCCAGTTTGAGTTTGCGCACATGCCACATCTGGTGCAGGTGCTGCCGGGTGGAGTGCAATTTGTCCAGGAGGCTGGTGATCTTGGGGACGAGGCTCTGGAAGTCAGCGCTGCCTGGGATGCAGTTGCGTCCAGAGAAGCCATCACTGCAGCGAATGCGCTGAAGCAGCCGCTGCCCTTCCCTGTCCAACTCCTCCACAGGGGCCTTCAGCACCTTCTTCTTGAGCTGCGTGTGTTCATCAATAAGCCGCCGAGAGCCTTCCACATCCACCGGGAACTCCTTGCGGGCCAACATCTCCTGAAGGTCCTCAAGGCGGGACAGCAGATGAACAGCGCTGTTGAAGAACTCCTCCAGAGAGACCCGGAGGTCTATCCACTCATCATGGTTGTAATCTAGGGAGCCTTCAAATTCCTCTGTCAGCTGGGAGGGGTCCACCAGCTTGGCCAGACCTTCCACTGACACCATGCTTGTCTGGAGACATGCGGAGAGAGAGAGGCAGAATGATATAGACAGACCGATGCAAGAGCCAAGGGGAGGAGAGACGAGGCAAAGACAGTCGTAAGAACAATTCACGTTTAGATAGCGCCTCAAGGTTTGCGAAGGGCTACATGTACATCATCTCACTTGTGTGCTCCTTAAGAATAAGGACTCTGTGTGTATGTGTGTGTATGTGTGCAGTGTGGATGTGTGTGGATGGTGAGTGTGGATGTGTGTACATGTATGGTGTGCGGACATGAATGTGTGTGTGGTGTCTATGTGCATGTGTTTCCCTTTCTCAGAATCCCCAGCACAGTTCTTGGCAAATAGTAAGAATTTTGTGTTTGGTGACTGGTCCTCGCAGCACTCCCACCAAGTGGGCGCTATTATAATATTCATTTTGCAAATAAGAAAACTGAGGCCCCAAATGGTTGAATTAATTACCTGGGGTCACACAGCTAAGAAGTGTCTGGAATGGGATTACAACCAGGCCTCCAAGATTCCAAGTCCACTGGTTTACACTCTTACCTCTAAAATGGGATCTATATCCACATCCAGATAAAGAACTGATGGACTCTGAATGCAGACAGAAGCACACTTTTTTTCACTTCATTCTTTTTCTGTTTTTTTTTTCTTTTTGATCTGTTTCTCCTTTCACAACTGTGACTAAAATGGAAGTGTGTTTTACATGATAGCACATGTATAACCTATGTCAAACTGCCTACCATTTTTGGAAGAGGAGAGAGAAGAGAAAAATTTGGAACTCAAAATCTTATAAAAATTGTCTTCACATGTAACTGGGAAAAATAAAATATTATTTAAAAATGGGATATATAAAAAAAGAAGAAAGAAACAAAAGAAACAAGCAAAAAGGGCCAAGAGGATCTCAATCTATATTCATCTTTTGACTAGAAAGGAAGATGCCATCGGGGGATTGTGGGGACTTCTTGGTCCCAAAGCCAAATACAGTCAATTCTCTTTAGGTCAGTCAATCAACAAGCATTTTATCAAGTGTTAAGTGCCAGGCTCTGTGCTAAGCACTGGGGACACAAAGAAATGAAAACAAAAAGGAAATCAGCTCTGCCTTCAAGGAGCCTACATTCTAATGGGGGAGACAATGTGTAAATAACCAGGAAGGTATAGGAGATATACAGAGTAGACAGAGGGTCATCTGAAAAGTCACTTGGGATGTTGAGAGAGACTAGCAGACAAATTCCAAAGTTCTCAATCTAATTGTATCTTAACAAGTTTGAATATATCCCTCCCCCATCCCTCTCCCCTCCCCTCATCGGGCCAAAACAGTGAGGCTTCTATTAAGAAGAGCAGAAATGTGGATAAGCCCAGCTCCAGGGCCAACGTAGAGAGAAAGCTGGATTTGTAGTTCCTCAGAAGTGAATTCAAATTCTGGCTCTGCCATTCAATACTCATGTGACCTTGGACAAATCACTTAATTTATTAGTGCCTCCGTTTCCTCAACTATAAAATGTGGAGGTTGGACTGTTGTCCAGTCATGGACAGTTATATCCAACTCCTTGTGGTCCCATATTTGGGGTTTTCTTGGCAGAGATACTGGAATGGTTTGCCATTCCTTTCTCCAGCTCATTTTACACATGAGGAAACTGACACAAACAGGGTTAAGTGACTTGCCCAGGGTCACATAGCTAGCAAGTGTCTGATCCCAGATTCGAACTCAGGAAGATGAGTCTTCCTGACTTTATGCCTATCACTCTATCCACTGAGAGACCTAGTTGCCCCTGAAAGTTGAACTATATAACCTCAAACATACCTTCCATCTCTAAATCTAATTCTTCCTTACTGATTTTTATTAAACTCCAGATTTACTGGCCCAATTTAATATGAACATCTAAATAAAGTGAAGTAGATTCAAGGAAATCATAGCTACTTGAACTAGATGATTCCAGAAATCAAATCATCCATCCCTCTGCCTCAGGGCAGCGCACACCTTCTCTACATCCCTCCTAATCTATGAGATCCCCACCCTGGGAAATCAGATGCCCCTGACCTCTATTGCCTCTTTTCTGTTTTCCTTCTGTTTGCAAGAGGCAAAGTGATACTGTGACTAGAACCAGTGACTGAAATCCACAAAGGCCTGCTTTTCTTAGAGAACCTGTCTGCAGGTCTCAGGTTGTCTGGGTGCAGACTGGCGGTCACCCTCTCCCCATGAGAACCAGGCATCCTGAGACAGAAAGTTTCAAACAGCCCTGTAAATGCCCTGCATGCTGAGCCGGGGGCTGTACTCCCACTCCTTCCTTCCCTGCTTCAGTGAAGCTCCAGGCTGCTCCTCCTCCCCACAGCAAAGGAAATAGTTACTAAAGATACTCCCGAAGATTGCATCAGTAGCTTGAATCCTTAATATTGCAACTACTCTCCTGCTGTTTATTACATCACAGGGATTGGATGGGACAGCTAGGTGGCACAGTGGATGGAGCCCTGGGCCTGAAGTTAGGAAGACCTGAGTTCAAATCTGTCCTCAGACATTTACTTGCTTAGCTGTATGACCCTGGGCAAGTCATTTAAACTGGTTTGCCTCAGTTTCCTCATCTGTAAAATAACCCGTAGAAGGAAATGGCAAACTACTCAGTATCTTTGCCAAGAAAACCCCAGATGGGGTCATAAAGAGTCAGACATTGCCCATGACTGAACAACAACAGAGATTGGTCACCAGAGGATCAGAAACGATCTCTGCCCCCCCCCAAGTATACCAATAACACTTTGTTCATTGCTTTCCTAGACATTTATCATTTTCATTTTGTATTATACTCCTTGTATACCTGTATTATCTCCGTATGAGATAACAGCCAAGGTCACACAGGTAGTGTCTTACTTTTAACATGAAGACTTTCTTGACCCCAAAGCATTTTGTTCCCTCCTTCACTAACTACCTCGTATTTCTCAACTTGGTATTTAGTTTCTCTTTACTCTGTATATACTTATGTCTCCTCTGATTGATTGTAAACTTTAGAAGAGTTTGGATTGTTTCAATCTTTGGGTATTTTCAGCACCAGCACAGTGCCTGGCACTTAGTAGGTACTCAATATTTTTTTTTAATTAATTGAGGTCAGCAGCATTGTCTTAATCACCTTTATAAACCCTCCGCCCACCCCAGCACAGGTGTTGCTGAGAGATGGCTAGAGTGCTGGAATGGAAATCAAGAAAACCTGTGTTCAATCCTACCTCTAAAATTTCTTAGCTGTATCACATGGGCAAATCCCGTGAACTCTATGCTTCAGTTTCCTAATCCATAAAATAAGGGCATAAGCAGGGCTTGTTTTTTTTGGGACCAAAGCTATGATTTTATTGGAATGGGGGGGTCTGGACAAGCAGACACCGTTCTAGTCCGTTGGAATGTGAGCTCTTTGATGTCAGGGACCACATTTTCACCTTACTTGTTGATTGACCGATGTAAGCGAATAAGGTTCTGAAACTCATAGTCTTATGCAGAGTCGCCTAGGGCTTGAGGAGATTAAGTGACTCATCCAGGCTCACATAGCTAGTATATGTTAGAGGCAGGAATTTCACCCAGATCTTACTAACATTGAGACTGGCTCCCTATCCATTATACCAGACTTCCTTCTATTATACTTAATACTAATGTTATATGTGAAAGTATATGGTTCTCAGGAGAACATTGTACAGTGATGATCAACTGTGAAAGACTTACCTATTCTGATCAAGAAAATGATCCAAGACAATTCCAAAGAACTCATGGTGAAAAATGCTATTCCCCTACAGAGGGAGAAGTGATGAACTCTGAGTGCAGATTGAAGCATATTTTTCCACTTTATTTATTTTTCTTATTTTTTTTTCTTGTCTTTATCTTTCTATTGTGTGTTTTCTTTTACAACGTGGCTAATATGGAAATATGTATAACATGACTTCATATGTATAATCAATATTGTATTGTTTGCCTTCTCAAGGGGTGAGGGAGGGGCAGGAGAGAGGGAGACAATTTGGAACTCAAAATTTTAAAAAATGAATGCTAAAAATGTTTTAAAATGTAATTGGGAAATATTTAATGAAATAAAAATATATATTTTAAAGTGTATGGTTCTTTAAGGTATGCAAAGTGCTTTACATAGATTCTTGTTTAACTTCCTTCAAAGGAAATTCAAGGGAGATAGCATATACAAAGCATCATTGCAAACTTTTAAAGCCTTATATAACTATTCGCTGATTTTTTTTTATTCAGCAGCGACACAACAAAGGCTTGTGACCAGTTGCTGTGATCTGTTAGCCTAACTCTCATTACACCTTTTCAAGACTGCCTTCCATAGTTAAATCTGTATCAGCTGACAACTCCATATTAAATACATCTACCAAAGACTTCCCTAATATCTCACCGGGGCATGGATGTAATTTTGGTTTCTTGAAGGATATGATGGTGGAATACAAATCCTGGTTGGTCCCACCAAGCTCAGAAAGGTTCCAAATAAATGGACTGTGTGTCTTTCACCATGAGGATGGGTCTAGGGAATCAAAGGGAAGAATACTCAAAGGGTTGGCTACCACCTGATGAAATACTCTGCCAGTCCAAGGCACTAGACCAGCAATGGGGAACCTATGCCCTCAAGGCCCCATATGGCCCTCTAGGTCCTCAAGTACGGCCCTTTGACCAAATCTAAATTTCTCAGAACAAGTTTGGATTCGATCAAAGGGCCGTACTTGAGGACCTAGAGGGCCACATATGGCCTTGAAGCCGCAGGTTCCCCACCCCTGCACTAGACTAAACCAACTGCTAAGGCATAGAAGGGTTGCTACCTGCATCAGTAGAAGGACTATCCTTTGCTAAGGAAATCATAGATCCTTGACCTATAGAAGTATTAAGTAACCCTTTGCTTCATATACCCTCAACACTTAAAGATTCTGCTTGTTCTGTATTTTTTAAACATGTGCTAATGTTTTCTAAGGATCTGTTTTCCCCAATGGAATGTCAGCTCCTTGAGAGCAGGCACTATTTCATTTTTGACTTGGTATGCTAAGAAAGCCCCCAAAGAGTTGGACACAACTGAAATGACTCAACACAACACCAACGACGCCCAGCACCTGCCCAAAGGGCTTAGTAAAGGCTTGTTGATTGACTGGTTTGTTGGTTGATTGATTTTTCGCCCTCCTGCAGCATTTTCTCCTTTCCTGAGTGGGAGGTTGCCAGGTAGTCTTCCTTGAGAGTCTAGGACAGGCTTGCCCTAAGGAAAGGCCAGGTAGTTAAACCTTTTTATTAAGTTTCATGATTTACCAGAAAGGTCATCTCCAGTGTTTTTAGCTCATAAATTCCAGTCTAATGCCATAGATCTTGTTTGTACAAGCTGGAAGGAGCGGGGAGGTTAGGACAGAAGTCTCCTTCAGGGCTCCCATGTTTTACCTAAGGTGATTGATTGGGGGCTATGGGAAGGGGGCTCAATGATTTCTGCATGAAGTCACATAACCCATTGTTTTAGTTACACCTAGAGACAACAGCCATCATCCCACCAGAGTCAGCCTCAGCAGCGGAGAGCACAGTTCACATTTTCTTACTGCCCTTGGAGGATGGAAAGCTGCTGACAGATTAATAGCAGTTCTCAGAGCCTTTTGAAAAGAAAATGTACGTGAAAGCTCCTCTACCCACTGGTGAGAGAGGAAGGTCAAGAGGAGTCTAAGACCCAGAATTCTGAGAAAAGGGAATGTCCCAGAGTTAGAGGTGGAATAAACGCTTGATAAATTGACTTAAGTCGGCATGGCATTCATTCAAAATCCTCAGGGCCGACAGCAAGGGAGTCATGAGCCCTCTGGGGATAGTTATCTTTAGACAAAATTTTGACTCTTGAAGTCCCCCCCCCCCAACACTGTCTATAGTACACAGAGTACTACTGGAAGACCTGGGTTCAAATCCCACCTCTGACTCTTAACTAGTTGAGTGATCCTGGGCAAGTAACTATTTGCCTTGGTTTCTGAGCCTCGGTTTCCTCCTTCAAAAAACAGAAAAAATAGCACCTTCCCTCACAGGGTTATTGTGAAGATCTAATGAGGTAATATAATAAGTCATTTTCAAACCTTAAAAGCTGTATGTAAACATGAGCTGTTATTATTATGCCTAGCTCCTCCCCACTGAGCTAGGGACTCTTTCTACAAAACCTTTGTATGTTGTAATTCATGTAAGAAGACTAAAGGAAAAAAAAATGACACAATGGCCACAGAAATGTGAGGGAAAACAACATTAAAAGGCATCAGAATTCAGATCAGGGTGGTAATTGATCTTGAATCCAGAGGCATGAAAGTGAAACTTTCTCTTTTCAGCAGAGAGATGGTGGACTTTGGGTTTAGAATGTGGTATGCATCATTAGATAGAGTTAAGATGTTGGTTTGGTTTTTATGAGTATACTTCTTTGTTAAAGGGGAAGGGGTGTGTAGAAGGGAGGGAGGGAGAAAGGGAGGGTAGGAGGAAGGGAGAAAGGGAGGGTAGGGGGAAGGGAGAAAGAAAGGAAGGAAGGAAGGAAGAGAAAGGAAAGATGGAAAAGAGAAAGAAAGGCAGGAAGAAAGGAAGGAGAGAGAGAGAGAGAGAGAGAGAGAGATTTAAAGGACTGATGAGAAGGAAAGAGGTCAAGTAGAATTGGGGCCAAGGTGCTATGGAAAGGACAAGAAAAACCATAAACACTACGAGAGAAACAACTTCTCACCTCAAAGATGAATTTGGAGCTGCCAAAGTTGGTTTTCTGCTTCTGCCAGAAGTTGTCGGGTTTGATGATAAGGGCCACATGGATCTCTGCAGGGAAGGCCTCCTGCAGTGTCTTCAGCAGGGGCTTGATGAGGTCCCACTTGGAGCCCCTCATGTCGATGATAACAGTGAAGCCACGTTTGCACACGTCCTCACTGTGGGGAAAGAAGTAGGGCGGATTACTCACAGCAGCTAGAACAAGACGGAGGGGCACCTCAAGCTACTACAGCTCTCACTGGCCATACCAGGCCGGTCTGGGGTAGTGAAGACTTTTAAATCTCCCTGACCTTGGAAAAGCAACATGGTTTAGTGGATAGAGCACTGGACTTGGAGTCAGGAAGACCTGAGTTCAAATCCATCCTCAGACACTTATTGATTGTGTGATGCTGGGCAAATCACTTAACGTCACGTCAGTGTGCCTCAGCTTCTTTAACTATAAGATGAGGGGGTTAGACTAGATGGCTTCTGAGGTCTCTTCCAGCTCTAAATCTATGATCCAGCTCCCAAACGTCCCTCCTCTTCCAGGAAGCAATCCAAGATTGACTTCATCTCACCAACCACTCACTCTACATTCTCCAAGCACTCAAGACCTTGGTTAGTATGGCCTTCTATCCTTTGCCATGATGTTTCATTATAAGTGTTCACAAGTGTTGTTGTTAATAAGTCTGTGTACGTTTGTGCATGTACTTCTAATTCTACTCATTTTGATTTCAACTATTCTTTCTGTGAAGAAATCTAAATCTCTAGCCCAGATCTTTTCCCCAACTCCTGCTCTTCAGTGGAGAGGGCCAGCTCTCTCTACTACAGCCTGAACTCCCCGTCTAGTCATAGGATCACAGAGCTGGAAGGCACCTTCCGAGCCATCTCATCCAATCTCTTCATTTTACAAGTGAGGAGGCCTAGGCCCAGAGAGGAGAAGAGACTCACCCAAGGTCACACAGCTAGTAAAGTAACAGAGTAGGAATTTGAACTGAGCTCCTCTGATTCCCAAACAAGATGGTGTCCTTTCCCTTGCACTAATGTGACTTCCTAGACTTCTGAGTCCTTATTTCTGTTCACAATACTTACCTCCTACCAGTCCTATAAATCAGAATCAACTATGATCGGTGTCTCTCCTCTACACCCAATTAGTTGCTGAGCCCTGTCAACTCTATCTGTGTAATGTCTCTTGCACCCAGCTCCTTTCTGATAGGGTTCTGGTCCTTACTATCTTTTCCTTCAGATCAAATACAAGAGATCTCGTCTAGTCTAGAATTTAGATGATAGCTCAGGTCTTTGTCTACCTCTGAAATTCTGACTCAACATTTAGAAGAGGCTTTTAACTGGACTCCCTGCCTTGAGTCTCCCATTCCCCAACCCAATCAATTCAATTTAATAAGCATTTATTAAGTGCCTACTATGTGCCAGGTGGGCAGCTAACTGGCGCAGTGGATAGAGTGCCAGGCCTGAAATCTGGAGGACCTGAATTCAAATCTGACCTCAGATGCTTCCTAGTTAGGTAACCCTGGGCAAGTCACTTAACCCTGTTTGCCTCAGTTTCCTCATCTGTAAAATGAACTGGAGAAGGAAATGACAAATCATTCTAGTATCTTTGCCAAGAAAACCCAAAGTGGGGCCATGAAGAGTTGGACACAACTAATTGACTAAACAACAACAAAACATACCAGGTACAGTGTTAAGCACTGGGGTTATGAAAAAAAGCAAAAAGACAATCAAATTTATTTGACACACCATTGCTATGTTAATCTTCCTAAATTAAATGATTCCTTTAATAAAAATTCTTTCATAGTTCCCTGATGCCTACCAAATGGAGCCAAAATTCTTTAGACTGACATTCAAGGCTCAGTACAATAGAGCCCCAAAGCACCTTACCATCTGTATTTCAGGAGGGAATGTGTTATACTGAAAAAAGTCTGGAAGGCTTGGTTTTGAATATGGCACTGACATTTACTAGCTATGTGGTCTTTAAATATGTTGCCTTGGTGTTCGTGTCATGTTAAAGACCTAGAAGGAGTCACTAGACCCTGCGTTGAACCTTTATAGAAGATTTGTTGGCCAGCATCGACAAAAGTCATACAAGATCGAGAAGGCATGGGGTGGGTTCTGAACTTTATCATTGAAGGGAATCCCGGATCATGAGATCACAGTATTGTGAAGTATTGCCCACCACTCCCCTACATATATTCTACGAACTAACCCAGATGGATCACAAGATATTCTTTGAATATTCTTGGGTTTCCTACTTCCTCACTTTTGCTTGTGCTGTTCCCACTACCAAGATTGCCCTTCCCCCAAGTCTATTATCTAAATCTTACCTTCAAGGGCCATCCTAAATATCACCTCCTTCATGAAGCCTCTCCTGATCTCCCTTAATTAGATGTAATCTCTCCCATCCTTGGAACCACTCAGCATTTTATGCTTCTCTTAAAGTACTTATCACATTCTATGTATTGAAGTTATTTTGTGTACTTGTATCACCTGCCTTGCTAGATTGTGAGTTCCTTAAGAATAGGGACAGTCTGTCTCACCTTTGTTTCACTCACGCTGCCTGTCTTTCTAGAACAGTTCCTTCTATAGAGTAAGTGCTCAGAAATCTTCTTAAATTGAATTGAATGCCTGCCCTATGAAGAAATCTGTTCTCGTTTAATTTATAATTATCATGTTCACTAGCCTAATTATGTTTAACCTATGCTCATTAAATTCACAATATCTAGCTTCTTTCAAGTAAAAGATTCCCAAAGAAACAAAACTGAACACTTTGTAGTTATATTGACCAAGCTTGTTCCTAAAGAAGAGATGAAAAGATGCATCTTCTTTCAATTTTTTGCAGAGGCGAGGCATTGTGGGTATGGTACATTGCCTATAGTATCAGACTTGTTTGATGTGTTGGTTAGTTTTATAGAACTGTTCTTTTTCTTCTTGTCTTTCCTTTTAATTTCTTTCTTCCTTCCTTCCTTCCTTCCTTCCTTCCTTCCTTCCTTTCTTTCTACAAAGGATCACTTACCAAGTAGGAGAGTGAGGAGGGATAAATTCAGAAATGATGGTAATATAAAATAAAAGAAATCAATACAATTACTTTTCAAAATCAGATATGAGATAGAAACATACTAATTTTATTCAATCCATGCACTGAGCCCCCTTCTTTTGAGATGTGGTATAGTCTAAGCATTAGACTTGGGATCAGGTAGACTTAGTTTTGACTCTCCCACCCAATACAATGATATTTCCACTCTCTCTTGCCACACATTCTCTCTCTACCATGTCCATAGTTTTATATCTTCAAGGGACTTCAGAGGTCATCTAACAACACCAACACCCCCTCATTTTATAGATAATGAAACTGAAGCCTTGGGCTAGCTATATTCTCTGGGCCTCAGTTTCCCCATCTGTAAAATGAAGGGATTGGATTCAATGACAGCTAAAGTCCCTTCTAGATTTAAATCTATGACCCCATGAGATGGGACATTGGGAGTGAATCCTACTAATACAATTCAGAGAGGCACCAGGCTAAATGTGACTAGAGCTCTCAAAACTGCTCCCTTCCTTAATTATGGTTATGAACTGTGGAACAGCACTAGCCACAAACCCTTTACTCAAACATCTGTGCCCCACCCCCACATGACAATGAGCAGAGCCAGGACCAATACCGTAAGCATCATTTATACTATGCCAAGCCTCTCATTCTACCTCATCTTCCCTGGTAGTACACACTCCACTCCCTCTTGCCACACATTCTCTCACCACCATGTCCATAGAATTTTACCAAATGCTCTCTTACTATCAATTACTGACAAGTTTCCATATACACCCACCTGCCCTCTACCTACCCTCTGATTCCCTTAAATAGTGGCCTCGAGGCCACATGTGGCCCTCTAGGTCAAGTGCAGCCTTTTGATTAAATCCAGACTTCACAGAACAAATCCTACCCCTGGCCTATACCATCTGTCTGTCCTTGCCACAGCTGTAGCCAGAGTGCAACCCAACCTGCACAAGTACCACCTTTCTTCCTCTGAGGCCCACAACAGTCGGGGGTGCTGCCTGCCCCTCAGACCTGCATGGAAGAAAGAGGAGGGCTAAAAAGGCATGGTCAAGTTGTGGCATCATTGACTATGTAACAAAGTCATCATTTCTTAACTCCTTAGAATACTCTTTCCCTAAAACCTCAGCAGCTTACCACATTACTCAACATACAACCTTTTGCGCAGAGTGGGACACAAACACAGTGGGGAAAGACACTGGGTAATAAGTTTCCGTAGGGTTGTCTTGCTCTGTCACAAAAAGATAGCACCTCACCCTCTCTCCCTCTTCAAAGGCAAAAAACAGTACCTGCTCCCAAGGCTCTGACAGTCTAATGGGGGAGACAACACGGAAAGATCCATGTACAAACAAGATACCGACAGAATGAATTGAGGGTAATTTCAGAGGGAAAGCACTAAGATAAAAGAGGACTGGGGAAGGCTTTATGTAGAAGGTGAGACTTTAGCTGAGGCTTGAAGATAGCCAAGGAAAATAGAACGTAGAGATGAGAAAGGAGGAAACATTCCTAAGTCCAGAAGCCCAAGTGCTCCCTGGAGTAGTCTCAGAGAAGGAGAAATGTTGAGGTCCTTGTTAGGACTATTGCCTTCCCATTCTCTTGCCCTCCCTGAGTTTAGTTAGCATAGTGCCCCATTCCTTGCCAAGTTGACCCTATCCTCCCTTCCCTCTCATGCTCCTCCCAGATACCAGTGGGGCATTAGCTAGGCCTAATATTCTCCTTTTTGTTTAAGCAACCTACTCTCAGGCTGATAGGTCTTCACAGTAAAAGGTTTTTAGGGCCTAATGTAGTATCTGGCCAACACTGTCTAGCACTATTGCATGGTGCCTCCAGCGTCAGCACTACCACTACCATACCATTTGACACGACAAGCTAATTCCAACATTATCTGGGTACAACTGACAAGCCTCCTTATCCAGGGACAGGAAACCAGAAGTAAGCTTGGCTGGTACAATTCTGATAGGCAGCACTAAGCTCCACCTGACCCTAGCTCTCATTAGGGCCAATTACTTCCTCAGTTCTGGTGTGGACTATGTGTGAATTCTGGTTCTGGCATAAGCCATGATCTCTGACTGACAAAGACACCTGTGAACAGCTGAGCCTTCTCCCACCCATCACAAT